TCAAAAAGCTTTCTTAACAGCAACTAATACTAAAAACCTCTTATATCTGTCACAGAGAGATGAGTTCGTATACAGGGATAGCCTCGATTCCAAGTTATCGAAGCGCGCCCCAATATCTTTTTCCAGCGGTCTTACGCGATCTAGCAAAGGGAGTATTTGTTTAAATGAAGCCACGATGCGACAATAGAGATCTATATCACAATAGACAGCAGGGCCGGGTTGTTCAAAGCTGGATTGGCACTAATCCAGGATTAACTCTATAGATCTTTTTAAGAGTTAACTAAGGATTAGCACTAATCGGGCTTTGAAAAACTGGGCCCTGAAGTAGAATAAATTTATTTATGATAAAACTAAAAGATAAACACTGTAACTGTGAACGAAATCCCACCCCACCCCCACCCCACCCCCAAAAACCCACAAAGTTTAGTTGAAAGAAACAGCTACGTACTTTATAAATAAATGAATGAATGAATGAATGAATGAATGAACTGTTTTTCAATTAAAATCCAAAAATGTCTTGGGTTTGGAAAACCAATTGTTTTGGGGAACATGTTCAAGTTAATGTCACCTATATATACTCTAATGTCATATTTGTAAACACAGGCTCTCTAGCCAATCAGATTGAGAGTTGTATTGAACTAGTGTTAATGATTTTTTTAGATAAGTTACAAAATAATAAACATTTAATTAGTTATAATGTCTTGCACCCTTCGCTCTACATAAGGACAGTTTGAGCCTTGTGTTTAAAAGGCCTTTGGGGGAGGGAGAGGGGAGGGGAGAAGGAGGAGATGGGAGTGGGGGAGGATAGAGTGTCAACTATTTTTTCTAGAGGTTTAACCTGACACAACCCAAAATCCAGTTGAGACAGCTCGCAAGGACTGCTGGGATAGTTGTTATGCAACTTTTCCATTTTGTTTTCAGACTGGTCTACCACAGGTAGTCCAGTAATTATCAAGTAAATAGATACCTGAATAGGTACATAGATAGGTAGGTAGATAGGAGGGTGGATAGCCAAGTGGGTAGGTAGGTTTGTATGTAGGTGGGTGGGCTGGTGGGTAAGTAGATAGGTAGGTAGGTTGGTACAAAGGTAGGTAGGTTGGCATGTAGGTGGATGTGTAGGCAGGCAGGCAGGTGGATGGTAGGGTTGACAAGTTGGTGGGTTCGTTGGCAGGTATGAGTTATAGGAAGATAAATAGGTGATTGGAAAGATAGGCAAATAGTAATGGTGGGAAGAAACAAAGCAAATAAGGAAGAAAGGTAGGTATAGAGGGAATGATCGAATGGGGAATGGACAGATGGGAGAACTGGAACCCACATATCAAGTAAAAGCCAGCAATAAGAACAAAAAATCTAAAGTAAGATACCTGCTTTCATATTTTCCCAGAATCCACCCTGAGGCGTAAGTTCGGTGTGCATTTTCATGTCAGGAATACCAAAATACTCCCTGACAGCTTTAATCCTCAACAAAGATACTTGTCCAAGAGAAAATATATTGGAAGTAATCCAGTATGTGAAGATAGCCTAACATGGAAACAGAAAAAAATAGGAATTCAATGCTATTGACCACAGGGAAATGAGTGTAAGTCTTGGAAAGAGCACCATGAACAATTAATTTTATCAAAAAAAAATTTTTTCCTTACAAGAAAGACTTTGTCTAAATTAGTAATTTGGAAGAGTTCTGTTGTCGTACATTAAATCTCTGCAGAGTTGTAAGCATTTCAAAATGTACTGAAAACATGGAAACAGGGCTGGTAGGCCCTTGGTTGTTGTTTCCATTCAAATCTTTCTAATTTCAAACAGCTGTAGCTTTTTATCATTTGATGTTACTACAGTACACTGAAATTTTGGAAGATCACTAATTTTGATCGATATACATCTTTGAGCTGCTAATGCGAGTCATAGAGAAACATGAGTTGTAGCTGGGAGTTTATCTGACTTTTTCAAGTGCTCTACAGGTCCCAGAGTAGATGTTTTATATTACTCTTATAAAATAAATGAAACATTTGAGCTGAGTGTGTTTTTTGTCTAAGAAATATAAAATATGCACACATGTCTCTGTATTGTGATATAAACACACTGGGAACTGTAGAGCATGAGAGAAGAAAGCTAGGTCATTCCGACATGAAAATGGTTTCATCGTATACAAAGAACATTGAATCAGTCTCAACACTAAGTTCCATGTTCTTGACAAGAAGAAGAAGAAGAAACACAAGTCATTCCAGCTATTCTTCGGTCTTGGAATGACCTATCTCCTATTACTTTTCACCTGTCGCCTATTGCCTTTGGTGATGAGAACTTTTTTTGAAGTAGGTTTATACTTACAGTAGGGAACTGAGCTGTTAGTGGTATCATAATGATACACATCACTCTGAAGAATGCCTTCATGCTCTGCATCTGTGGATTACTCACTCCAGCTTCACCACCAAGCTTAAAAACACAAGAACAACAAACACCAATAAGATCAATGTCCCCAAGCTGAAATAGGCTGTTTGTAATACAGGGTTATGCTAGAATTTTCTAATCTATAATAAATTGTGTAATTCCAGAATTTATCCATATCCCCCTCCCCACAGAGGAATTTGGAATTCTTGAGGGGGAGGGGGGTCAAAGACAGAACAAAATTACAGAGTTTGTATGGAAGAAAATTGGATTTCCAGGGGGAGAGGGGGTCTTTAAAAAAATTTCCTCCATGGGGGGAATGGATAATTTCTGGAACTAAACATTACATTAAAATATTTTGGGTTGCATATGCAGCCTATGCTCTTAATGCATCGTTCTCTCATCAATGTTGAGTTCACAGGATTGGTAGTTCACCCCCTGCATACCCAACACATGAGTAGCGTTTGTTTGATGTGTGGTTCTCTCCTAAGCTATGAGGTTTTTCTCCAGGTTCCTCCCTCCATAAAAATCAACATGCAAGTTGAAGTTCTACACATAGAATATTGAATTAAAAGTTCTGGGCCCAGTTGTTCAAAGCCTGATTAGTGCTAATCCTGGGTTAACTTTTAATAATACCTATAGAGTTAATCCTGGATTAGCGCTAATCCAGCTTTGAACAACCCGGCCCTGTTGTTTGTTTCTCGCTACCAGAAAACGAGTGACAGAACTTTACTCCTGGATGCTTTAGTCTCCAAACCAGGAACAAATAAAATTCTTTTATTATTTTACCTCTATTGATGCCAGCATGGTAAAGCTACATAGAATAGGAAGAACAAAGTAAGGGTCATAAGTAGTGAGATCCATAAACCACCATATTCCTCCAGTCTGTAGGGACTCAACAGGTAAGTTAGCCATCCGCCGTAAACCAATAAAGAAGGAAACAAACAGAGGTAGTTGTATCAAGGGTGCGACAATACTCTGAAATACAACATGGTGTGGTATTAATTAACAATCATCTTGTCAATTGAAATAAAATTTCACCAAAAGTTTGACTAGAGTTTCAATCAATTGAAAGAAGGACTTGTATTTCATGGGTTCTCGTGGCTGAGTTATGGGAAATGCTAATCAAAATATGATGTCAAATCCTTAATTCTGATTGGCTGACCTTGAGCTTGTTCTGAAGGCCAACTTAGCTGGTTAAAAGTGACAACATAAAATCTAAGGTTATACCTTAATAATTGGATGACATTAATATCCAGAATATCAAAAAATGTCCACCAATCAGAATCAACGTGCAATAAACAAATTATTACATGTTAAGAGTCTGATATCGTTTTTATTCACTCATTGTCCATATCATATCGCTCAATCGCTTACAGACTCGCTTGTTTGCAATATCATATGGAAACTTGTGAATAAAAAACGATATCAACAGGGCTCGAAATAGAAAACTTTTTTAGCCTGCCATA